TGTCGGTACGGATGTGAATTGTGTTTTTTGTTGTTTTGCACTCATTGAATGGCAAGTTTACAATAATATTCAATTAACTATTTGAATATAAATGTAGAAGAGCTAGGTTCTATACTACAAACACTCGGAGGAATAAACGCATTAAGTGTTAGGGATAAAATGAGAAATAGCTTAAGTAATAAATTTGAGCTCTAAGAGTTGGCTTATTCGGACACATTCTTTATAACTTCAAAAACGCTATTGCGAATTTTTGTAATTTTTCCTTAAATAAAAATAGCAATACTGTCCTAGGGTCACCAGCTATTTAAAAACTATGCATCAAGAGAGAGCATTTAAAATAGGCCCACAAAGTTTAATCAAATTTTGAATTGCTATTCAAATTATTTTACAATTTTTATTCGGTCATTTGTAAGATAAGTATTAACGCATTTTATCCTTGTTATTTTTTTAATGGACCAAAATACCAATCTAGTGGCACTTTGGAATAATAACTTCTGTGGTTAGTTGAGAAAAACATAAGGTATCAACTCAATATTAACATCAAGTGGAATTTGGTTAAGTGAAAATATAAATGGGTGGGCTAACAAACATACGAACAAATACAAAGTATGTAAGTATAAATATGTATAGTGGTATTGCATGTCGTGTTAGCCACCACAATCATCATCACCGCCATAATCGTCCTACACTGTTAACGGTTATTCCCTTTTTGGCATATGCATTTTTTTTTCACTGCCACTGCTCTCGTTGGCTTGCTCAACGAGAATATGAGGAAAATGAAACCCTTTATGCTTTTATTTGTGTTATACTTATTTTTTTTTCAGAATACAACACGCTAAAGCTTAGCTTCCAACATGCAGGAAAACGGAAGTTAATTAGTTGTTGTCGGTCACCTAATAACAATGCTGTAACTCTATATCATTTCAAAAAGATAAACAGCTATTATTAATATCAGACAATCAAGACAGAAATTCAGATACATGCATATATGTGTGGAGTGCTCTGGACTGTGCAGAAACGCAATTAATTTAAAAAAATTTTCAATGTATTATTTTGGTGGTTTTAGGTGAAATCTTAAAAATAAATTCCAAAAAAGTTTTATTATCTAAACTTAAATTAATGAACAAAACTATATTACCATATGTTTTTCCCTTAATATGCCTCCAAATATACCCTGATTGTTTTACACCATACACCTTAAACAAACTGCCAGCAAAATACCAACCGTTTACAATGCTCAAGAATATTGTCTCATTGAATGTCATCAACATGTTATCATGTTTAACTACAACCTAAAGCTACTGTATAAATGATTCAATAACAACAACAGCAAAAAAAAAAAAACAATCGTTGTAATAGTTTTGTTAAGTTCGATTAACGTATATTAAATTGGCTTTTATATGGCTCTGATATGGTCATACAGATTTGTTTTGGCAATTAAAACTTAAGTTTATTATTAACACACACCAGAGAACATAAAATCAATGACGACGATTCCTCTCTGCTTGTACTACAAAGGTAAATGAAAAATCACGCTAAAACAGGCTTGTTGCTAGTATCTGGCCGGTTGACTGTTTGTCTGTCTGTCTGTTTGCCTTTCCGCCGAACAACCTTAACCCAATGACTTGGTTTGAGTATTTTACACAATTATTGACTATGTGTGGCCTGGGCAGTAAAGATCAGGTGTCGATTTTGGTATTTTAAAGATTGTTTAGGTAGCGACTAAACGTAGCAGTTAAGGAGAGTTTTTTTGTAGATATGTAAGAAGAATTTGTTGCTTTTTTCTTGAATATTAATTTCTAGCCTCTTCACATAGTTATTGTGAATGATGTGAAGTACCAGCATGACGATGACCTATATACCGTATTGTAAATCGGTGTATAGATTCCATCTGAAACCTGACTATGCAATTTATTTCTATGATTTGTCTGAATCAAATCTTTGTGAAGGATAGAGGAATTTAAATGTGTTTTTACAATTTACTTTGGTAAGAAAAAATCAATAGACGAATAGGGAAGTTCTTTAGAAAGGGGAAAGATGAAACTGAATATTTGACGTACAAATTTTTGTTAAAAATGGGCATTTGACCTAATCCGATGGGATATTTTTTCATACTAAATGCTAATATTCTAAATGTGTTTATTATATTTCAAAGCCTAAAGCTATCACTAATAATAACATATATGCCGTACCACACGAAGATGTTCACAGAAATTAATTTTTGGAAAAATTTTGAAGGGCAAGTAGCCAAAAATTAACTTTTCTATTTATAAATTCAAAAATTGGCAAAAGGTACCCTTCATGTTTATGATACCACAATAAAGAGAAGTTCATCTGAGTTTTGATTTTTTCATTTTTTAAATGCACTTTTATTTGCACTTTGTGTATTTTTATGTTGGGAAAAACGAAAAATCGGTTTAATTATTCTAATACCCTCTATTATAGGACGGGGGAATTTTAAATTTGTCATGGCATAAACAAAATACATTCTTGATCTGAGTAAAATTCTGAGGTGATTTAGCTAAGTCCCTCTGTGAGTTAAAATCTCCATAGAAACTACATTATTCTATGCAGAGCTTTTAATTTTGGCAAAAAGTGTGTGTCGAGTATGATTTATATTGAAAATGGATTATATATATGGATCCATAGAGTATATTCTGAGTTTCGGTCCTTTCAGAACTCCAGTAGCAATGTTTATATTATTTGGTTTTTTTTAGTTGCTGGAATTGATATTAAAAATGGATTATATATATATGGATCCGCATTAAGCTATAGCGCACATAGAGTATTTTCTGAGTTTCGGTCCTTTCAGAACTCCAGTAGCAACGTTTATATTATTTGGTTCTTTTAGTTGCTGGAATTGATATTGACAACATAGGCCCACTATTGGTTAAAGTTCCGGTTTTACAAGAAAGTTAGGGTCATATAACAATACCTGCCGATATTCGGTATTTCTGTTAAATTTTTTGTTATTTATCATTTTGAGTTGCAATATCATCCAACATTTCAACATAAGCTCAATACAACAAGTCTGGTCGATTTCAGGTATTTTGATGGTCCCGCAATTTCTATTCGAAGTGGATGTATATTGGCATGTTTTAATCTTAATGTCTTAAACAACCATATCGCCCAATTTGTGTTATTTTGAAAAACCAATTTTTTCAAACGAATAGATTATGATTTGATACTACCGATCCATAAAGTGTATATCAACATATATTGCTTAGGTTTAAATTGTACTGGAGTCCTTGTCATATTCTCTAACCAATTTGTAAGTATTTTTGACATTGCAAATGGAAAAAGTTTGATCCTAGAGAGAATAAAAACAAATTTCAAATTTTGCTTTTATTCTGGGTTTGGGCGGTTATACAAACCAAACCTAATTTTGGATGATTTGTGGTTCCCATCGTTGAGATTTCTTTTCAAAAAATGGCAAATTAATATTAATTAGCTTGTGTTCTTCTTGGGTTGAATGAAAGTGAAATAATTAAGTTAAAATTCATTATTTGCATTACTATCTTTGTTTAAGAAAATAAGTATTTTTTCCGAGCTTTACTTACGTAACAACTCATTATAGAATAAGCATACGTTCCCCCGCATGCAACAACTATTGTGCTACTAATAAATTTTCCCTTTGATTATAAGGCGATTTTATAAGTTTTCGCATCATTTAGCAAATGGCAACAATGTGTAAAATACTCAATTTGCTAACAAATTGTAAATATATAAAGGCACATTTTCCTACTATAATAATTTATTCCAAACATATTCATACATATATCAAAATGATTGATAACCTACGACGTTCAAAGGCAGACTCAACACAAATGCCGGGTACTTTTAAAATAAAATGAAATGAACAAAGCATGCGACTGATAGACCGACCAAGGGAATAAAAATATATGGGAATAAGTGTTTATTATTTTTTTATTTCTTTTGCAAAATATATCAACATAAGTCTGGCCACCTTAATTGTATTATCAGCTAAACGTATAAACACACTTTAAATCACTTTTTTACTCGAAATAATACGAATAATCAGCTTCCATAATCTTGGCAAGTATAGTCCAATGTAAGCCAGCCAAGAAAGAGCCAAGTCGGCAGAGTTCTAAAGCCAAAGTGCTAAGAAGGAAGCTAGATCAAGCAAAATAAAAAATCAATCATTTCCGCACTTACATGGACTTGCTGCTGCTGCTAAACAAAATGCATGTGGTCATATTGCCTTTTGCCGGTTGTAGTAGCCACTAAGATAAATGGCAATAACAAGGCTTAAATAGTTGTATGCCGCCGTATGCCGTTTAAGACCATGTTAACAACAAGTTAATATTGTTGTTGTAATACGTACGTTTTAAGGTGTCTTGGCGCAAAGCTAAGACAACAACAACAAACCTTCTGCCAGCTATAATTTCAGGTTATGCCCGTTTTCTGTTTTAACTAAAGCGTAAGAGATTACCAAGCTCTTGAAGTCATAATCGCTTGGCTGTATATTCGAAACAGAAACTGAAATGGTCAGCTGCAGCATATATTAGTGTAAGAGTAGAACTGTTAATTTTCCATGAAACCACCCAAGTTGTTATGCGCAACTAATAGAAAAATTTACTATGTTTTTGTGGGATGCTTTAAACAGCTGTTTTACGGGCAAGTTGTTAAAGAATACCGTTGGATGGAAACAGTGTTAGGAGTGCTTTCAGTGGCGATCACATGTGTGATTTTATTAAAATTTTTAGTTTAGAAATATTTTATTTGTGAATTATTTCAGTTGTAATTTTTTCCTAAAGAAGTTAATTTTCATTTTGTTTGTTTTTTTAATTTTGCTTTGTCTACCTTTACGTGTTTTATATATGAAATGCTTTTTTCTTGCTTTTATATATCCTAAAAGTTTTACTTGTTTTCATTTTTTCTTTCCAGCAATTCCTTGCACAGGACCAACTATAATATGGATTAGTTTGCTACGACTTAAACTTAAAATTTTGAAACAAAAAATGTGGAAAATTTCTTACCCATGTCTGGTGATATGCCGCCGTATTGTGTTAGATCAGATCTTATCTTACCTAAAATAAAAAAAATAGAAAAAAAAAATAGGTTAATTGCGATTAAAGAAAATTATTTTCATATCTACATCGAAATGTATAGATTTTTGAGTTTTATGCTTCATAATTGTATTATACAAAAATGTTGAAATCATTGACAAAAAACAATGTAAATAATATTTTTTATGATATAAAGTATAATAAAACGAAAAGAATCTACTTTTATCATATTAAAATCCATTGATCATTCAGAATTATATTTTTTGTTATTTTCTTTCTTCAGAGCTTCCAGTGAGAACCCCTGGTGGCGTCACATGGCTAATGGCGGCTTATTTTTGTGAATATTATGAATTATTAATAATACATAAATCGTTAAGAACATCACAAATATGCATATTTTACTTTTCATTTCACGGTGTAGCTTCCATTTCTTTCTTCCCCCTTTTAAACCATCTCCCAGCTCTCCAAAAAATCATAAATTGTAGTAAATTATCAACAAACGTATATATTGATATTTCGTTGCTCTTTTCAGTGTTAAGAAGCTCGTTTGTTCACAAGTGGCAATAATGATTTGTTGTTTTATAATAAACAACAGCAACTCCAACATATTGTTGATTACTATGCTTACGTATGAACATATGACCAAGATTTTGTTGTTCTTTTTTTTCGCTGCTACTAATGCCTGTTTTTCTCTCTTTGCCCATGACCACAGAACAAAAATGAGAGAAAAAATTGGCAATTCCAGTCCATTGTTTATGAATTAGAAGAAATAAATCTTTAGAAATTCGCCATAAATTATAATTTGTCTTTGAAGCAGAGACGGTGATGATTATCGAAAGTTTATAGAGTCCAGATGATGTTAGCGTAATTCATTAAAAGGAGATGAAGAATAAAGATCAACAAAGCTCCTATGAACACTTTTTAGAGCGTGCAAATGTTGAAATAATTATTTGAAATTTGTATTTGTTGTTGTTTGTATATCAAAATGCAAATTGTGAATTTAATTGCTCACATTAATGTTAAAGATAACCGGTTAACATTTTAGAATTTATACCAATTTTTAATCAAATTGATGCGAGAGAATGATACTACTCTAAACCAAAAAAATCAATAATTTAGAGGAATTTAGGATATACGAGGGTTGATATTTATCAGTGAGAATAGTGGGTACATCCTTATTTCGGTCGGATTGATATTTTGAGATCATTTTTCATGGAAATTTTCAAATTGTGTCAATGGTTTTGAAATTCAATATTATTTCCCGATAACAATTTAAGGATTTGCGGCCTAAAAATTTACACTAAAATAAATAAAATACTGACTTTTTAAATTGAATAAGACGTATGATAATGAAGTCACATTCTTATGTGTTGAGGTACTATTTTGCAAGGCGAAAGAATTCACACTTCAGGTAAATTTAAATCTCATAAAATCTACGTAAGAAAGGTATCATAAAATGGTAGATATTCAAACATGGGCAAAGTTTTGACAACAACACTAACTACGAAATGTAATTGGCGTACATTGGATTTTCGGATTTTCGATTTCCACACAGTTTAAATGTAATATCCGCTCCAAATACAAAGCTTTCTCCATGAATTTGAACTTGAACCTCGATAGCGGAAAAAAAATCGAATAATTGGTCTACCGACTTATCAGCCCTCCCCAGTTCTTACTCACGGCTCTTGCTCTAATTTAACCCCTGCTGATTACTGTTAATTATTAAATTTATGCATAATTTTAAAATGAAAAAATATATACATCTCCAAAACATGATTTGCATTTAGTTTTGGGATAACAATTAAGATCTTTATCTTAGCATTTACACGTATCAGTTTGTTTATTTATTTGTTCAAGCACGAGCAGCATTCAGCCAATAACCCAACAAACCAGTGGTCTAACAAGGCATTAATGGCAACACAACACTGATTGTTTTCATAGCGCCCCCGCAAACACAGAGCAAAACAAACAAATAACCATTTTTATAGTTATTTTTATGATTGTAAATATACCGGAAATAATATTTGATTATAAACTCAAATCTCACAGCACATTTGGATTCTCTAAAGGGACACGTAGCAAAATATACGGGAGAGGGGTTGTGCTACTGCACATATTTTGGTGCTCTCTATTCCGAGAAGATGGTGGTGGTGATGACGATGCGGTTCAAACAAATCAAATGTTAAGACAGCCACAACAAGATTAAAAAACTCTATAAACTTAATGGGAATTTTATGCATATGAAGAATAGAATGGCAAAATGTGGCCGCGGTGAAAATATCGTGGAATATGCAAGGTATTTAAAAACACATAAATTCGTTGAGTAGTTCCTGTGCAGATTTTCCCATATTTCGTTAATATTTTCTATTAGTTTTCTCATGATAAAGCGAATTAAAATAAACCAAAAAGAAAAAAAAATCGCCCTAACTAGAGCCAATAAAATATAAAAACTCAAAACACCTTATACAAGCAAGTGAATCTCTGTTTATTCATATTTGCCACTACAAATTACGTTTACTCAGGCGCCAGACTCAGCCTGGTTGGGGCGCATATTTAAATACACACGTGGTTTATCGCTGACATTAAATCATATTTTTTATATCATGTTCCCTGTATTCTGAGCCTAGACTTTCATATCGAAGTATTCACACCTTGCAACATCTTTTTTCTGTTCTTCAGAAGAAAGACAAAAAAACTTTTTTCTTTCTGTTGTTGTTCGCTAGCCCTGTTGCAACGCTTGTTAGCTTCGTTTGTGGCTCGTTTGTTACCTACCGGTGTTATTTTGATTGTTTACATTTTGCGGATTTTGCCTTTTTCAAGCTTCTTTTGCCAACGCGCTTTTGTTTTATTATTTATAAACACTTGATGAAATTTCTGAAACGTTTTGGCGGTAGCAAAAGCAAAAAATAAAAAAGCAGACACTCTACCACCATTGCCACCACATTGGCACTATACTAAAAAAATACAAAAATAAACAAATTATAAATGAAAAATCAACTTAGACGACCTGATACCAAAGAAAAACAAAACAATATTTACCTCATAGACGGTATTAGGAAAACAAAGAAAACCTAATGAAAATTAAATCAAAATAAACAAACAATAACTGTACAAAAAAAAAGATGAAATAGAAATTAACAAAACAAAAACAACAAATAAAAGAATAATTTACATATTTTGTTGTTGGTTTTGCTGCCACATAAAAAAGGCCATAAAAATATACATTGTTATAAGAAGCAGGTGGTCGGTCGCATAATTTTGGTTTCATTATAAAAACACTCTTCAACAATAATGTCGGATTTTGGTCTGGTCTTTTGATTACAAAAATGACACAATTAAAGGCCGAAATGACCAAGCTCTGTCGATGTTGAGAAATGATATCTGAAAAACCCGGAGGAACCAGGTTGAAATAATATATAAAATACCAATTTTATGGACCTCACAAAGTGATTTTTTGAAGGAAACAAAATCTATTGTCTCTCAATGACTTATGTTTCCTATAGTTTCTTAAGATGGAAGTTGGAAAAGTAAAAAATGTTCTGTACTTAGATGGCGATATTCTGTCTGTAAGGTCCGAAGACTTTTAAAACGAACTAATCCAAATGAAGTATTGTGTGAAAAGAACTATCAGAACTAGTGTTTTTAATTTTTCTTGTCACCATATTTTCATTTTGTTTCTGATTTTCTTTATTTTTTACATTTTAGATGACCCAACGGAGAGTGGAACTTAAGAGAAAAATTTAAATTAAAAAATAATTTTATAAACCTTATAAAATAGATCATATAAGTTTTGTTTAAACTTTTAATCTTTAAATGTCAAGATTTGCAGTATTTTGATGGTTTGTGCCATGATAGTCTTTTTTATTTGTGAAACGAAAAGATTCAAAGCAAGAATTTCGCAAAAAGAACTTTCAGAACTAGACATAAATAATTCATTTGGTAGCTATAGTTCATCATTTTCCTTGAATTAAAAACAAGTTAAAAGAAAAAGATACACGAGATTCAACTTAAAATAAATAAACAATTGAACGGAACGATAAAACAGAATAGAAAGAATCAATTGAAAAGAACCGAGCATGTAGAAACATATGATGGATTCAACCGAGAAGAACTTAATGAAATGAGGGAAACCTATGGAATAACTAGTTCCTCTCAAGATAAGGAACGAAAAAGTTCGAGAGGCCTACAAGATGAAACTAATATTAACCCTTTGATATATAATTTTTCCTTTGATAACACCATTAATTTCATTCTTCCAAATAAGAAACCAAGTCAATTAATATGGGAAATACAATACATTCTCTCTGAGTAAGATCAGCAATTTTAAGACAAATATTTATAGAATCGAGATCAAATTAAAAGCATAGGCATATAGGATACAATAACGGTCCAATAAATATAATATGGACATCTTCGTGCTACAATAGATTAATATTTGGGTTGACTTAAATAAAATAGAAAGGTATGATTGTTTATGTTTTGACGGAGCGGATATTCAATGATTCGGAACGCGACTGTTCCAAAAAAATAATTCTCTGATCTTAGTTTAGTGAATTCAATTAAACAACTTGAAATTAGTTCATACGCCCCTTTAATTGAATAGATTAATTGAACTAGTTTTCTGCCTAAATATACAACTCTAATGCATAGATGTTGTGAATAAACATATAGGGATAAAAACCGCTACGAATTTGTATGGATATTTCCTTTCAAGTTCGCTGAGCGACCATTTCCATTCTTGTCTTCAAAAGAGATGAGACCGCTCATTAAGTTTCTTTTATTTCAGATGCCGATCGGGATAGAAAAAAAGAGATAAGACTAAATAACTAGATAATCGAAGAAGGTGAACGGCTCCGATCGTTCCATTTACAAAATAGTTATGTTAAACAAATTCACAATGAAAGGACGCAACCCTAGTTCTTTGCACAAAATCAAAAAATTTTGTGAAATATACGATATTTATGATATTGTACTGTACTCTTTTACTTATTTTAAAAATTCAGAGAGCAATAATTGATGCA